AAAGGGAATTGATAGTGTAGATGTATCCTCTTTTTTTATAGTTAACAGTGAGAATAGTAGGACTAGGGAACACAAATATAAATTTTGGCAAGGTAGGGGTCATCTTCAGCTAAGACAGTTTTATTTTTCAAACAGGGTGGTTGGCCTTTGGAATGGGTTGCCTTCAGATGTTGTAGAGGCAGAAAATTTAAGTGAGTTTGAAAAAAACCTTGATGAGTATATGAATGAAGAGGGCTGGGTTAAATTTTTTTATTTAATCTTTTTTAATCATTTTAATTTAGTTTTGAAGATAGAACAGTCGAGATGGACCAATAGGTCCCATGTTGTCCCAAAATATTATGTTATGTTATAATAATAAAAGTACCTGAGATACAAGATTTTCAAAGCAGATATCTGACATATCAACAAGTAAGACTTTAATTAGAAAAGTTTTTAAGTGAAACACAAAGAAGGATCATTCTCTGTTCAATATTACCTCTATATTTCATTCATTTACATATAGAGCTAATTTTACCTAATTGCTAATGTATAATGTAAAATGGAAATAACACATAAAATAAAATGCCAGGGTTTGCTCTATTTGTTAAAGTAAGTGTCTTGGTGCATCCAGTTTCATCCTGGTGCAGCTACATTAATCCAAAGTACATCATTCACAGATTTTCCCTTTCATTTTTTTAATTTATAGAAATAATTGTCCTAATGTTATGACTGCTATTTTTCAGATTAATAAGGAACTTATTTACCACAAAAAATACTATAAGAAATCAAAATAAACACAATATATGTATTATTTTCTGTGTCCATAAATTTTTTCTACTCAGAAACAAACACTTTTTATTCTTGATATATACATTTAGCACAAAATTTGAGAAACTACATAAGCTAATGCTTACTTGATGATTTAGGTGTTCACTTTATAACTGATGATATCAAATTTACAATTGACATTAGTCCAATCACTAGTCTCATTAACACCTGATTTTGAATTAGGTTTTAATACCTTTTCATTGATTCGATCATTTGTATCATCTACATCTCTGTTAAATGCATGAACCTCCAGTGCTCCAGCCAGCTTTATCCTATAGTCAGCTATTGAGCCCTGTAAAGCTTTCCACCTGAGGAAAGAGACAGTTTTTCAATGAAAATAGATTTTTAGCTTTTTTTTCCAGAACCATGGAAATAAATAAATACAACAGATGACCCTTAACTGAATTTCTAAAACTGAAAACATTTTAAAACCGACAAAATACTGTAACATTGGAACAGGAACCACTTTTAAGCCTTATTTTTCCAAAAAGAGTAGCCAAGTGTCTAATTTAATTACTTTCAAATGATAAAAAAATAAAATAAAGTGTCATAAAATAATTTAGAAAAATGTTTTAACATTAATACATATCAGAAGAAAATTTTGCACATACTTATGGTTAAGTTCTTCTCGACGATGTTGCAATGCTTGAGTATCAGAACGTCCTTGTCGAATCAACTTGTCTGCTAAACTATTGATGGTTTTAATCCTGGAGTCATCTACCAGCATATCCTAAAACACATAAAAATTCCAAATAAAAAATACTCAAAACTAATCACAAAAATAATTTGAAATAGATAAAAATAACCCATTTAAAATACTTTAAAGATGGATAAATTTTATTATTCTCCACAATGTTGCAAGTGACATTTTTAATACTTTCTGCACTAGTTAAGTGTAAAAACTTAGAAGGATAATATTCTTTTACAATAATATATATATATATGTGTGTGTGTGTGTGTGTGTGTGTGTGTGTGTGTTTTTTTTCCATTTTGCAACCAGGAGCGATTTTCTATAGAGTCACAATTTACAATTCAAGAAAGATACAGGGCAAAACAAAATATCACAAAAAATATATAAAGATTAGCTAGTAAAACTCCATATATACTGTTGTATGGGCTCAATTAGATAATGGTTTAAAACAAATTTGAATAATGTTTGAAACATTAACTAATTCAATTGTTAATTATAAACATAAAATAAGACGTAGTTCTGAAATTAAAAATAAGATTCATAATTTGTTTTTGTTTGTTTTGAATTTCGTGCAAAGCTACATGAAAGCATCACTAATTTAGAAGTGTAAGACTAGAGGGAAGGCAGTTAGTTATCACCACCCACCACCAACTCTTGGGCTACTCTTTTACCAACAAATAGTGGGATTGACCATCACATTATAATGCCCAACAGCTGAAAGGGTGAGCTTGTTTGGTGAAAATCCATAATATAATCACATACACCTAAACTAGACATGAAGGATCATTTTATTTTTAACTCATTTTTTTTCAATTAGAATTTCTGTGAGCCAAGATTCTGGTTAATATTAGCAAAATATCTTAAGTGTCAGAAAATATGAGAAACTGTGATCAAGAAAACCTATGAGCAATACTAAATTTTACCGAATCTACATCATTTAACTTCCTCTGAAGAGCCAGACAATGTTCATAATCTCTGCCTGTATCTCCTGCTTGGACCATCATTTCCTGAAAAGGGTTAAATATAAAAAAGAAATCTAAGAGAGTAATTTTTATTTATTAGAATAAGTTTTTGATTTCTTTAAATAGAATTTTTACTTTAAAAAAGCACTTTAGAGCTATCAGAGTAAAACTGCTATGATGACAGTGGATAAGTACACTATACAATGCGTTACAAAAACTTTAAGAAGACTTACAGAAAAATGCTTATCTATCTAGCAATTATGTGTATTTTGAATTGACATTTTCAGATAACTAATGGTTATCTCAATGTATGTAATTTCAGTAAAGTAGATTAATCTGTTATTTTTTGTAATATCGTCATTGCCTTATATTTTTAATTTTTTTTCCTTTTCCTTCTATCTGTTTTTGGAACAAGTCTCTATGATAAGCACACACTGTTCAGTTTTTTAAAATTTTAAACTTCTTTAACATGCCAACAAGCAGCTTCTACTTATATCTAGTCAACATGCCAAATTGTTAACAGAATCCAAATTTCTAAGTCTGCATTAGTGAAGTACTTACTGATATTCAGTTCACAAATTATCCGCACTGAATTGTTATATGAATCCTTTTAATAACGACATCTGATTTTCTATAAACTATTTTCTCATCTCCTGAAAAAGAGTCAAAGCTAATGGAAAGTTAAATAATACTATATTAGGTGAAAACATGACACAAAAAGTACAATTCTTCAAGCCTTCAGCTCTTTTGAGTATATTTTTTTCATTTATTTTTTAATCAAAGCATTGTATACCTTATCCCTAATCCAAGCCTCAACCTTCTCCATCTGATTATTTAATTCAAATATATCTTGTGCCTCTTCTAGACCTCGCCCTCGATTAGCTGAAGCATTCAGAAGCTGGGACCATTTCATAAGAAGCTGCTCTAACTGAATCCTGATCTCAGGAGAAGATTCATGCTTCTTTGAAAGAAGAAGTTCACCTTTCTGAAACAAATTGCAAGTTTAGCATTACAAAATTTTCTTAATAATGTGGAAAACATAAAAGAAACAAATAAGTGTATAACACACAAAGGAGTAATTTTATCACAAATCAATTACCTGTTTGATGGCTTTGATGTTTTCATCATGAGCAGCAAGCTCTGCTCTAAAAGCCTGGTGTTTCTGTAGTTTCTTTATTTTGTCTTCTATGCTTGCTACATCTCCTTTACTGGCCTCTGCTTCTAAATTTTTCATTTTTTCCTCAATCCATGTCTCTGCCTGAAAACCAACAAAATTATATGTGAATAAACTTAAAAACTATGCAAGGTGTATAGCAAAATAAACACTGCTGTTTGATTAACAGTAATGTCTTGATAACTTATACATATTTCCATATTAAGGTTGGGTTATAGCAACTCTACTTCCTAGTATAAATACTAAGAAGAATACAGATTGTTTTGTATTTCAGACAATATTTTTTATAAGGGCTAACTTTTTTGTTACCCATACCTTTATAATGGTGGTAGACAATGAGCATTTGTAATTTTAGACTGATTCAGTAACTGTGCAAATACAGTTCAATCATGAAAAAATCATTTGTCATGTCACTTGTATATTTGTTTTCCTTAACTGTGTGGTTCATTATAGCCCACTCTATACTAACTTCCCCCCTCTTTACAACCTTAATCCCAACTAATTTGGGGTTGGTCAATGTTTTCTTCCCGCAACATTGGCTTACATCCACCCTTGAAAAAGATGTAAACTGAAACATCGGGTAGAATAAGAAAACATTTATATGAAGATGTTTGTCATCTTGATTACATATGGTTTCTATCCTTCAGTCAGCAATGAAAATTTTAAAGAATAATAAAAAGTTTTACACTCCGGTGACTGGCCAGTCAGCAACCATATAGGATGAGCATGTTTGGTGACGGGTACTCAACTTGTGACCCTCAGATTGTAAGTCAAGCACCCTAACTACCAGACCATTCCAGGTCAACTCTATACTGATGCTATCTAAAATTGAGGAGGAGTTAGATGTTGCCAATAGGATAAAATATTAAGTTAATAATCTGATAAACTTGAATACTTATTATAAATAATATGAGATTAAAGGAAATATTATACATTGCATTATAATATTGGAAAATACCAAAAATTGTCATGAATAAACCTAAATATTAATAACTGTAAAACAATTTCAAGTACTGTACCTCAGCAGAGTCTCTCTTAAATTTAGTATGCAGCAAAGCATCTGTTAACTTCTGTTTCCTTGTCACACTTAAGTTCTTTATTTTGTTTCTCCTATAAAAAAAAGTTCTTTAGCCATGTACAAATAATAATGAAACTTTTGTATTACTAGTCTTTCCTAATAGTAAAGTTAAAAAAAAAAGATTAAATGAAATTAGTCATTAGACTACACAGAAATTTCTCAACAGGCTTTAAGTTTTTGTTTATGCTACAAGTAAAAACCTTCATAATTAGAATTTAACTACTGTATCTATCATTTAAAATTGTATCATTTTACTTAATTTTCTACAGTTGTGAGTTTATTTACGTTTTTTGTAAAATTTTGCTTTTAAAACAGTTTAATTTTGTCAGAATTATTTCACTAAACAATTTTATTTATAAGTGTGCACTGCCATCTGTTGTGATAACTTACAACATAGTTCATTGTTGCACATTATATAATGTTACATGTTGTTGTCATTATGCCTGTTTCTTAAATTAAAAATGTCCCTCACTTGAATAAGTATGAAAGTTTGCAACAAGTAAAATATATTGTAGAATTTTTCATAACTAGAAACGAATTACTTAACTAGTTTGTATCCTACATTTAAGCTTCTTATCAAATCCTGGTCACTAACAACACAAATAATCGTTCTCAGGACTTCTCTGAAAATAGCAGCAGATCAGCAGTTGAAATTTAGGATAAAAAGTAGTTAGTAATTAGTATATAGTTTATGAAAAGGTTACTAATTAATAATTGTATAGTTACTCTGGAAGTATACTTCTATTGACTAACTCCACATACTGAATGATGTTCAAAACTTATATAAGTGGTGGTGATGATACAGCTGATGTGAACCAAATATTTGTTAATAAAAAATTCCTCAGAAACTAGGCTTACAAGTTTATAATAGCATGAGATAAGTAGGACTTACAAAATCTATAAATTGATTCATTTTCAGTTTAATGAACTTTAACTGTTGCTACTATTATGAACTTTCTTCTTGTATGGAATATTCTTTCTATAAGCATCTTACTATGTTATTTATTATGTTAGTTACCTTACACTATACAACTTAAAATTACTACCCTCTCTCTGCATTCACGTTCCATTAAAGCATTACAAAACACACAGAATATTCTTCTGATGGTGAAAAATGCACATTAGTAAAACCAGTGATTCTCACAATTTTGAACAGTATGAAAATCAAGTTTTTTCTGGGTTTGCTCTAACAACTTCAAGATTTGTGATTTGAACAAATTACAAGAAAAAGATAACTGTATTATATCTTCAAAATTGTCATTATACACCACTTAGCCCAAATGATAATAACACACTTAAATATGAGCTTTCATTAGTGTCTACAAATAAATTTATTCAAAATATAAATTCTGAAATTATCATTTTTTATACAATAGATAGTGTCCATCTTTAAACACATCCTCCATATTATATATTACACACAAATTCTGCAAACAAAACCTCACCATGTGTAATATTTAGGCTTATGAATTAATGTTTTATCTCCATGATGATCAGTTGGGTGCATCCTGCCTTGAGGGCAAAATTGTATCGTTGATTTAAAAAAATTGTAGAAAATCTTGTAGTCATTCTTACACACATTAAAAAAGGGGAAAAAACAGCATTGAAATTTATTGAATAAAAGTTGTTTTATTTACTCAATTTTATATATGTATATATATAAAAAATGTACATTTTGATTTTTGGGCTGATTTCAGCAAACTCCAAACAGCATCAATAGTGTTTACGAATTTCCTGAATTTTTTCTGAACATAATGTTACAACAGTGGAAGTCACGCAACGCTGGGAGCATGCGCGCTAATGTTTCTCACAGGATCATGAATTAGCCTGGCAACTCTAGTTTAATCGAGACGCCCTCATTTCAGTATATAAGCCTGATGAGGGCAGAGATAGATGATTGAGTCAAGCAAACAGTAGGCACCGTAAGTAAAGTGTGTGAATCACTGTGATTTATAGCATGTGTTATAAAGGTTGTTAAGTTTAAAGTGACTGTGAAAATTCTGTGTACTACTAAAAGTTGTATCATGAAGGAATAAACTAGTTTTAATTAAGAAAGAACTTGTATCACTGAAGTTCCTCGGAAAGAATTTATACCAGAAATTAACAAACGAGCAGAAATGCAACAATAACACTGCTCTTGTAGCCCACCTAGGAGGAAAGTCATGATAGTTTTGAACAAACCATCAATAATTTGACCATGTAGTTTGAATACAAGTGTTGTTTTATCGATTTTTGCCTAATCCTTGCTTCTCAACCTCAGTTGTCATGGTGTGATGTAATTGTTTATATCTCAGTTTCCAGAAGTCACAGGCTAATAATCTAAACATGTAATGAAAGTTCTTTTGCTGTTCTTTTAAACTATTAAGCCAATATTTCTTCTATTTCAATACAGAGTCACAAAGATATTGGAACAAAGTAATAAAATATTAGCTTAGTGACGTGTTGCTAAATGAAATGATGCTTGTGAACCACTTCCATCACAATTATAGTTTTTTTAAAGCTCACTTTATTATTTTATACATCAATTCAATTATAATGTTGTAGTATGATAGGAAGACAAAAAAGCTACTGTGTTAGGCCTTTTTTTTAAATTAGGCTTTATTGGCCTAAGTAACTGTTGGAATGCAAAAAGAAAGTCACCAAAAATAAATGTAAAATAAATATATATATAAATTAATATAAAATATGCTTATGTATAAGTTTGCTTATAATTTTAGTATGGAACAAAGTATTAGGTCGTCAAGAAATTAATGTTGCTTTTTTTTAGATGAAAAACCTGAACACTTATGTATAAAAACAAAACATTTATTAAATGAAATAGTCTCCATTCATGTTAATGAGGCTTTTCCATCTTACAATCAGATTGTTAATGCCCTGATTATAGAAATCACTTAGCTTTGAAGTGAAAAACATGTCAATGTCCTCTTTAACATCTTCCACATTTGCATACGTTTCCCATTAAGATGGTGTTGCAGCAAACAAAAAAGACTGTAATCATATGGTGCCATATCTTAAGAATATGGTGGGTGGGGGAGAACTCCATAATCTTGTGCTGTGTCAAGTGTGCCACATGTGGACGTGCATTGTCATGGATAAGAAGAACACCTTTCCAATTGACAAGTAAAGGGCATTTCTGATGAAGGGTTTGATTTAAGCATTCCAGTTGCTGACAATAGATCGCTGCATTGACAGTTCGCTGTGGATTGCAGAGTTCGAAATGTATTACTCTTTTGACGTCCCACCAAATGCAAACCATCTCTTTCTGCAGATGGACTCTAGGTTTTTGGGTCGGAAGTGGTTTTTGTTAATGAAAATGTTCCAAAACGGGACATTAATTTCTTGACAACCATTTACATTAACATTCTTTTCTTAAAGCAATAAGATAAGCCTTACAACCGGTTAAACTGACACATCCTGCTAGGCGTGGACAAATTAATATTAAATATTTGTTATAAAGTGAGTTTGAGATATTAATGATTACCTGAATGTTAAATTCTAATGCTCAATGAAATAGGAAAAAAATGTTAAATAGTAATTTTTGTCTTTGATGTGAAATTGAAAATTCAACATTTTTTTTTGTAAAAATGTCTGTCACGTGTGGTAATCAAAGCAAGAGTCATCTGCTCAAAACTTTGGTCTTGATAGCTACATATCTAGAACACTGGCCTCAGAAACAATGTCATGGGTTTTAGTACTCTAGTCAGGAAATATTTTTCAACATGCTGTTTCATTATATAAGTGAACAACAATGCATCACTCTTCCTTCATGTTGTAGATGTAGCTTATTGCCAGTTCTATGTATAATGTACTAAAATGTAATTGTTATAAAAGTGATTTGTTCGTTAGCTGGCTGACCAAGATAGGTTCTACCAGCATGTGCAAGTTCATGGATAAGCCTTGATGAGAAATTTCAATACCACCTTATAAGATTGGTTTATCTCATCATTTTGAATTAATATATGAAACTGGTTTTCAAGAAATATTGCAAAAGAAAAATGGATTTGGGAATAAGGCATTTTTCAGGTTAAGACATGACTACTATAAAGTAAAAAACTTTGATCAGGATGACTATAACGTGGTACCTCACCATTTTGTGGGCTATTAGATCAAATGATTTAGCAAGACAGCATTTGCATGTTTAATAATATGAGACAGCCATAAACATCTAGAATAAAAGGTAGATCATCAATCACAATTGCAAGAGAGAGATATATGTTCCAGCATGTCCATAGAACTAGTTTAAGTAGTCAATCCTACAGAAAAGAATTATTAATGATTATATATATTCACTCAGATAAAAATGATTGATTCTGTACTTCTTATTTAACTTTCTCACTAACAAACTAAGTATTGTCAGCTACCTAATAATCCCTAGAATAACAACTATTCAAGCTTTCACAGTTTATTTCTATTATATAAATTACGTCTCAAATTTCTCCTGAGAAGTCCTGTAGTTATAGTTTCTATATTAAGGTGTTTTTAAATCAGGTGAACTTGGTAAGGCATGCCAAAACTGTAAATAGCTCAACAGATTATTAAACTTACCTCTGTGTTACCTCATCTATTCTGTGACGTATCATTTCACTTTCAAAATGATTCTGCTGTAATAGCTTGATACCATGTTCTTGTAAGGATGATAGCTATAACATACACCATAAGCAAATTCAATGAAAAAAACTAAAAGTTGTTTAAATGTTTTAGACAGAAACACATGTGAATTTTACTATAATTGATGATAAATTACTTTTCTAATTATTCTTGAGAATACAGAACTTACTTGCATTTATTTCTGGTACAAAATTTCTCTGTAGCTATTAATTCTACGTATAACAACTGTAGAGAATCTAATCCTTTTTTTTCTTTTAAGGTCTATTAACCCTCTCTACATGGGCATCCTTTATTGTGCATGTCATGAGGTTTCAGTGTCTTATATTCAAAATTTAATTAAACTATTTTTTGTTTATGTTATACCAATTAGTATAGCATAAAATCATAGCTAATAGTATATAAGTTAAGTTTTTAATTTTATAAGACAATATTTCTCCTAGTGTGAGAAATGTGACATTTTTTTCTCTAGGCATTCCCTCTTCTCTAATTTATTCACCACCCCTCCAATAAGTATGAAATTTAATGTAAATTACTTAATATAAAATCGTCATCACTCAAGACAAACCATAATTTTCATAGCCTCCAATCTTGTTTGGTTACAGAACTGTCAAATAGAGAATCAGACCCCTCTTGCCACACCCACCTGTCACGTCCTCTCTTTCAGGATTTGTTAATTGTACTCTTTTACGTTTAATAATATATTATTTATAACCAATATAAAACAAAGATTTTCAGCTATCAAATGATGGATTAAATTACATTGTTTCCTGAATGGAGAATTGTCAATTTCTCTTTTAGTACAAGCATCATTCCCGCAGGAAACATACTGACTAGCTTGGATGAATTTGTAACGGCTCTTGTTGCATAGCAAGAAAGCCAGACAAATTGCTATAGTTACAGGAAATTGTCTGCTTTTTGCAAGTTATTATTCTACATTCTTTGGTGCATTACTAATTAAATAAAAATTATTTAGTGCACTATTACTATTAGTATAAAAAAAGTAGGTTTAAGTGTCATTGACAGTCAGCAGCAAAAAAGGAAGATCCGGGTAAGTACTTTATTTCTTGTTTGTCATGTGTATTATATATTTATAATTATAAAAGTAACTAAAATGTAAAAGTAGGAATCTCTTTAGGTTAGTTAGTTATATTAGGTAAAATAAATAATAATATAATAAAAATGTTTTACAAGGCACACACGCAATAGCTTGTGGATAATGTAATTTGATAGTGTAACGTGAGTTCCACATTCCCCAAGTGATTTACAACTTATAATGGCATGAACAGTAGTTAGGCATGGTTCAAAGCCCAATAAAACAATAAAATTTAAGAGTTATGAGTTGAAAGCTACTTAGGCTAAACAAATGTAGTTTCATGTTACAATCTGAAGTCATTCTAGAAAGAAAAAATGGTAATTTAGATTTATTTCATTTTTGTTTTTTGGTGGTTACAAGGTTAGTCAATTTGACCAACCTTGTAGAGAATATAACAGATAAAATTGTTTTACTGAAAACAAACGTCTAAAATGTATTTAGGAGGCATTAGAATTAAGTGCTTAAAATGAAATTTGAGATTTTTGAGACGAAGAAAAGTATTTTAATCTTAACATGAAAATCACTTTGCACTTGGACTAGTAAAAATAAAAGGCTCAATATATTCACGGACAAACCTTTTCTTAGTTTATTACAAATACTTCATTAAAAATCTGGATTTTTGTCTGTGAAAACTTATAATGTTTATTGAAAGTCTGCCAAATTTTGTGAAGACATACATGCTATATTAAAAGTTAGTAGTATCAAAACTATAACAACTTTAAACTAGTACAAGCCAGTGTTGAGAGAGTTAACCTTAATCTAATGTTTTCACAGCTCAGTCAATGAATTTTCTGTGATTAAGTACAACAAAATCTAAGATGTGAATATAAAAGACTTGCCTTTTCATCTTGTGTTACCATAAGTTTCTCAAAAGCCTCATGTTTTTTCACTTGGGCATCAACTTCTTCTACTGTTGTTCCAAAGTCTGACCCACAGAGGTAGACCTAAAAATACACTTCATGTTAAGTCTGTATGAAAATTGTATGGATGGTCATCTTATTTCTGTCTCTGTTTTAACTTGTACTAACACCCCCTAAATTTGGAAGGTACATATTTAATAGGGTTGAAAGAAAGTAACAAAATAACATTCTTTCTAGATGAAAGACCATTTTTTTAAATTCATCAGCAAAAAACAAATTATAAGTAAAAAAAAGTTTGATTTATAACTAAAAAAAACTACAGATCCATAATATAGAGATTAATTACTACACAAACTTAACTGAATTTATAGTTTGAAATATAATAATATACAAATTATCCTTTTTTAAAAAAAAAGAACAGTCTGAAAATATTCCTTTTATGTTACCAACCTCCTGCTGACCACTTAGTGTATCCAATTGTTTTGCATCTCGCAAGAAACAATGCAGGTCCAGGAGTTGATCAAGATAGACATGCTTCCTCTGCCAACCAGTATGAAGCTGTTCTCTCATTTTCAAAAGTTGGTTTAGACGTTCTCTAATCTAAAAGAGAGGAAATATAAATATCTAGATACTTGTGAACAACAAAAGATACAACAAGAGATGTACAGAGATGTAAAAAAATGTTTTTACTTTTGACAAAGCTAAAAACATCAAAATGTTTAATGTTATAATTCAAGCTTCACACATTATGCTTGTAAATGTAACAAATATTTCAGTGTGTGAATAAATTTATATCATACTTAAGAAAAGGTAAAAATATTTAGCACATAAAAAAATTGTAATAAAAATTCTTCATAAGATATACTCACAAGCAGCTTGTGTGCTACATCATTCAATACTGTAATGTGAACTATGTGTTCACTAAGTGATTTACAACTTTTGTGGTGGGATTATTAGTTAGACACAGTTCATCATTGGCCAATAAAACAATAAAATTAAGCATAAACAAATGTAGACTGTTATGAGCCTTAAGCTATTTAGGATAAACAATAGTAATCTTCTGTTACAATCTGCAGTCATTTTTTTTTAAAAAGGGTAATTTAGATTTATTTCATATTTTTTATGGTTATTACAAGGTCTCTCAAATCAAATAAAACCACACAGAGTTAGGGCAAAGAAAATAACCAACAAAATATATTTTTCTATAAAAATTGTTTGTCAACATGAAAATCACTTTGCACTCAGAGCAGTCAACAGTCTGACTCCATATATTCACGGACAAATCTTCAGTAAAAATACTTAATTAAAACATTTGATTTTTTTGTGTCCTAAAAGACTTGTAATGTTTATTGAAAGCTTGCCAAATTTGTGAAGATACACAAAACACATTAAAAGTTATAATATGGAAACTCTGATGGTTACTTAACATAACATAATTTTTTTGGGACAACATGCATTATCTTGCATTTATTATAATTAAAACCCATCTGCCATTTATTTGCCCATCGTCACTAAATAATCTAAATCCTTTTGTAAAGCAGCAGCATTCACTTCACAGCTAGCAACACCCAAGATTTTAATATTATCAGCAAATTTAAGTAATTTATTGACTATTCCATCATCTATGTCATTGATGTAAATCAAAAAGAGCAAAAGTCCTAAGACTAAGCCCTGAGGTGCCCAAATTGACTGATCTCCCTTTGTAACAACCCTCTGCTTTCTTCGATCCAGCCACTCTTCTATCAAATTTGCTAACTTATTCCCCACACATCTGTGGTTACCAAATCGGTCATTTCGACCAACATTGTATGGGAATAGAAGAGTTAAAAAAAAGTGCAGTAGCTGTTCAAATACACTATCTTACCAAAAGTCATGGGATACAGGTAGTTATGAATAAAGAAATTAATAGTGTGTTGTCCCACCTTTGGCCTTAATGACTGCTTCAATGCATTGTGGAAAAGTGTCTACAAATTTATGATAGAAAGCTGGTGGTATTGTGCACCACTACTGAAGAGGGCCATCTTGGCCTTGCCCTAAGTCTGTGTTCCAGTTCATCCCAAAGATGTTCTATTGGGTTGATGTCAGGTCTCTGTGCTGGCCACTGCAATGTTCCAATGTTATTTTCTTCAAACCATACATTCACAATCCTTGCTTTATGACACGGAGCGTTATCATGTTGGAAGATGTAAGGGCCAGTACCATAAAATTGCCACAATGTAGGACACACAGAATTGTTCAGAACATCAGTGTAGGACTCATCATTCATGGATCCATGCACTGTGACCAGTAGACCTTGTCCATACCACAAGAAGCACCACTAAACTATGATACCACCATCTCTAAACTTCACTGTTGGGACAACACACTGAGGTAATAAGCATTCTCCAGGCATCCTCATTACCCAAACAGGTCCATCAGACTGGAAGAGCATGTAGCGTGACTTGTCTCTCCACATGACTGATTTCCATTGATCCATGGTCCAGGTTTGGTGAGCCTTGCCCAATGTCAATCAATGGTGTGAATTTGCTTTTGTTATCAACAACTTGTGGGTTACAGCTCTTCCATGAAAATTCATAGCATGCAGCTTTTGACGTGGTTACTTGCATCTCCAAACACAAATTCTCTAATGATCTGACAGCGAGATGAGGTAACCAGGCTTCTCAAGGCTCGTTGGCTCCTGTCAGTCAGTATTTTATGTCTCCTTGGTCGTTTTTTGGGCTCATTGTTACCTGTAGACTTCCATTTCTTCAGCACGATTACAATTGTCGACCTGGGAATGTTTAATTGTTGTGCAATAGCACATACAGACATTTTCCTCAAATGACATCGAACTATCCTTCCCCATTGAAGCTCTGTTAGCTCTTTCTGTATACTAATCATTTGGTATATAAGTTCAAAATGACTTCCAAGCAAACCACTGATCACCTTTATAGGCCACTATTTGCATATTTCGTCGTCACACCCATTTTCCTGCAATCAGAGGTGTGTCTCACAACTTTTGGTAGAATAGTGTATATTAAATTTTCAAAGTTTAAACTGGATAAGTAAATTTATATTTCTTTAAAGCTAATACTTCAAATCTTATGCACTGAACCATGGTTCACTCTTAAAACTATTTTTATTGTACTTTATCTGTATAACCATTTATACATAAACTTGATGAAGTAAAATTAGTTTAACTAACAAGAAGATATAATAAACTCAAACAGACCTCAGCACTGGCATAATGTTCCTTTTGTATCATCATCTCTCCATTTTGAACAACATTCCTGAAGTTTTCCTCTCTAGCTTCAATTTCTGCTTTCAAGTGTTCATGTTCCGTTTTAAGAAGTTGTGCAGCAGTAGCATCACGTACCTTTTCTTCTGTGTTCATAGAAGAACACAGACTCTGAGCCCATGTCTCTAGATCTCGAACCTATAAAGTAAAAGATTTTATTACGATAAGAAAATGTGGAATAAAAGAATTTTGTTTCTGTCACTTAAAAACGTTTAAATTATCAAGAACATTTATCACAGCTGTAGCAAATAAATAATGTTCTGTTCTATACAACAATGGCAAGACAACGTCTCTAATGAAACAGGAAGCACAAATGAATATTTCTTTAACAACATGTTTCCAAATGATAAATTTGTGATTAAAATTAAGTTCATGCAAATTGGTTTCAAAAAAGGGTTCCTGATTTATCAATAAAAATCTCTGATAATCAAATCTCCTAAATCTACAAATTACTTTTATGATAAATTACAGTCAGTGGTTTAAAAATAAAAGTACATTTCTTATTGAAATTTCTGTTAAAATCGAAATATGAATGCTTAAATGCCTATAAAAAGTATTTTATAAAATATATCATTTGTAGCTTGAGGAAATAATGTCAACACTATGTCTCAAACCTTAAGTTTGTTTCTTTACTTTTTTGGCAATTGCATTTTCCCTTTAAGCTACCTACCTTGTTTCTATATTTTTTGAATATCCCTATTTTTCCCCTTTTTTAAGTTAACAGTTTTTGATAATCTTATATATATATATATATACATATAAAGTTGATGCAATCAAAAATCTAAAATTATTTACCATAAAACTGCTGATTATGCAGTGATTTATTCATTGATTATGCAGCAAATAATGTTAAGGAGGACGTTAAACATAATTAAATGTTCCACCATCAACAGCAATTTAACACTTCTCACTTTTAATGAAATAACAAAAACAAACACACTTTTGGGGCTTAGAAATTTTTAAAAGCCCATTAATCAGGCTGTCTGGCCAGCAGACACTTCTTCCCAAGGAACAAATTAAGTGATAAATAAGTTAAAAGTTGTAAATGTGGTAACACCTAGATTTGACTTCACTAAGTCTGGAAATTCAGACTTTGATTATGAAGTCAACCACTGATTATGTAGTCATTTGTTAGTTCTGCAATAAATGATGTGGCTGTTTAATCATGTTAAATTCAGGGTCCTGTACAAATACAATAGGTTGAAAAGGTAGCAGATATAAAAGACTTTACCAAAGCCAAGAAACGATGAAAAAGAATTGCATTTTCTATTTGTTCTTTACGCAGCTGAGCTCGCTCCTGAAGTGAGTTCCAACTTTCAACAACGTAGTTTTGCTGTTCTGCAATATGTTCTGCATTTCCACCTGGATAGGTTTCTTGAAGTCTTACACTGTCATCCACCAAAACTTGAAGCTATGGAATCAAAGGTATTGAGCTTCTAACATTCATCTGGTTATTATACAAAAACCTTCATCATTAAAATATTATCTTATTAAACACTAGTAATTAGTTACAGAGCACCAGCAATAAAAAGTTTTAATCATTCAGAACTTAGCCTTCAATGAATTTTAATTGGTAATAAGAAAGTAATGCTCTAATACTTCAAATACTAATAAATTGGTCTTTAATAACATTTTCAAGCACTTAATTTATAATAACAAGTTTTTGTGAATTTAACCATAATTTAGATAATATACTAATCAAATCAAAAATAAACAGTTTAAATCATAACACAACTACTCATTGTTTTCAATATTCTACACACCTGTGCTTCCAAAGCAACTAAATCGTTTTCAAAGCCTTCGTGTTTCTTTCTTAAGCTCTGAACGGAGTTGAGATCCCTTCCCAAGTCATCAGGAATGCTGGCATATTTTTCTTGTATCCTGGAGAGAGCTTCAGCTACATCTCTATTAAATCGATGGATCTCTCCAGCTGCCTGAAGCTTCTGATCTCTGGCTTCAATGTGATCCCACAACTGATCCCATGCATTCCTACGTCAAAATGTGAAGCAATGTACATGCATTCAGTGGTGGAATGTTGAAAAGTAAATACCAGAATTACAATTTCTTACACATAGACTACACATATAGTTCAGAAACAATATGTAAATAAAAATACATCTATTCTGTCACAATTATTAGTAGTCTTTTTTATCATTTTGATATATGAAAGTCCTAAATAAAATATATTAACAAAATGGTTTGTAACATAAACTTCAGCTATAAATACCATGCACAAAGTGAAAAATACATAGTTAAATACCCTTCTTTTACCCTTTCATTTCAACCACACTTTACTATCCATGTATTCTAGTGAAATTAGCATTATCATGTATGTTATAATTTAAAGTTTTATTTTATATAAGTTTTAACTCCTTTATTTCAAAAGCAACCTTTATATAAAAGTGCTCAAACTTCAGTTTCGTTGTCACATAACACACCAGTGATCCCAGATATTAATGTTTTGACTGTATTATTTTAGTGACAGTTTATGTACACTGTACATGTATCTCTAGACTGAATTTACTCATACAGCACTATTTATGCATTCTTAGTTGAAATTTCATTGGGTCAACTGGAGATCAGAAAAATGATAAATTTGTCACTTGACAGTAGCCTTGCATTTAATTGTTTGATTGACATGTTTATAACAAAAATAAAAAATGCATTTGGAACTACAATATCCCAATAGTTATTTTAAAACAGGTGCGTCATATCTGTTACCAAGTATGACAAACAGCTGAAGCATCATTTGCTGATTTCATCCTCACTAGTGCTTAGTGTAGTCTCTTGCCTGGGTACATATTAGTAAGATAGTGAGTGAAAGTGTATTTAGGTTTTACTTTTATATCTTACTTAATTATGTATTATTTTAATTTTAAAATTCATGTATGAAAGGTTTAATCATTTTTAATATAACCTACACTTCACTTTGGTTCATGAGGGTTAACTTACTATGTGAGTGCAAAAACATTCTGCTGAAGGTTTGCCTATCTCTGCCAAAGATATTTTAATATGCCCCGAGTACACCTGTTGGCATGTGTCAAGGAAGAATATTAAACCATAAAGGACAGGAAAGAAAATAAAACATTAAAATAAACTTATAAGTGAAAAGACCTGAAGTTACGAATATAACTAAAAGAAACCATTTTAAGATTATTCGACTAAGGGTATGTACATATTTCTATTTCTTAATTTTAAGTATTTTCTTGCACTGTATGTTGATGACAGATATGACAGAGAAAATGAAAATATAAACATTTACCATAAAAAAAACTTTAGATATTAATTTAGGAGTTTATAAAGGTTATGCAAATGAAATCTGAAAACTGTCAGAATAAAAAAAAAAAAAGAGTATTTTTATACTTAACATGAAAATCACCTTGGACTTGAACTACTCAGAATCTGAGTGCAAATAACTACAATAAATAAAAAAAATTTAGTAGAAATCGTAGAAAAATATTTTATTTTCTAAAACTACATGCCTTTATGAAAGTTTCTCTCAAGTTCCAAACAATTTCACCTGCTAGTTTTATTTTTGGAACGAAATTTGAGAGAGTTATGTAATGGTTGATGCGAAAGGGTAACTGATGTATAATACCAAAGTGGGCAAGACATAAGCTTTTTTTTTAAAGCAGTAACTTTGATGAAATATCACAATAAAACACCTAATATAATCTAGCAGACAAAATGAAATTAAAATATCAATATAATATAATTTTACTGGTTATTTGTATTAGGTCAGCACTTTGTTAACAAATGTTTCGAGTGTTATAAAGAGGTATTAATATAATCTTAACTGTCATATATACCTTAGATGCTCCTGTCTTTGTATAAGTTCTCCGGTGTAGGGGCTCTCCACTGCTGTTAGCTTTCGGCACAGTTCCTCACATTGGCTGTACCTCTCCGAACCAGCTTCTATCCGATGACGGAAGTCATCAAACTTGCTTTGAAGCAGCTACAAGAAATATACAGAGCTAGTCAATAATATACATAATAAATATTTCAATCACACCAATAGCAAACTTTAATTCTAAGACACTGATATACAGAACACATTATGCAATTTAAGCTCTAAAACTGAGTCTTCTATTCTGAAAAAAAAAAAGTTAGATTTTTTATCTGATATACATGTTCAACAATTATTTTCAATACTGTCTCATCTTGTTCACATATAAGAAAAGTCTGACAATAGTCACATAAAGAGAAACAACTGAAATATTTTACAAGAGGTTTTACCAATAAATGCTCATAATCTTGTCCATACTCTTCAGAAGCTGCCATCTGCATTTCTTCATTAATCCAATTTTCCAACTCTTCACTTTCTCTGAAGTACTCATGACGGTTCTTTGACTCAACAAGTTTCTGTCGTCTTACAGTTGCCAATTTCTGAAGTTTTTTCACCTCCTTCTGTATCATTTGCTATTAAAATCAGTTAATGGATCAGTGAAAAAATCTTACAATTTGTATGCTTTTAAATGCAAAACTTACTGAATCTAATGCAATAAAATGCTTCTCGAAGCACATAAGTTAATATCATACTACATACAGTTAAAGATAAAAATTAACTATCTATGAATCCTTATAAATTTTACTTGCTTTGAGACACTGCATTTCCAATCAATGTAAGTCTCATTTGCATGACAGATCAAAATGTTCGATGTATTTTTGATAAAACTATACAGTTGACTCTTGATTATCCAGGATAATGAAGGAAGAAGGGGCATAGATAACCAAAAACATGGATAATAAAAAACACACACAAAAATCTTACATATATTGAAGTGTTTCTAGGAAAAACACAAAATTCAGAAATAGATTTTTACACAATACAAATTAAAAAGTTATTCATAATAGACAACATAATAAGCTTTACTTAAGTGATTTAAAATAATCATTTAAAGTCTTCTGTTTTTTGTTTGATATGATTTTTCGAATTAAAGAATGCAGATGGAATAACTTTCAGTTCACTCTTTTCAATAGTCTTGAGTTTTTGTTACATTGTCAATACAATTTATTAACGTTTTGACATATTGTTCTCAATATTTAATAAACACACTAAAAATGATAAAATAAATAAAAGATATAATAGTAAAATGAAAGAAATGAAGAATGAAATGAACTGCAAACAAAATGAACAAGAACTGTAGTGAAAGCAGTTCAAAGTTATATTAAGATATAACTGAACAATCCACTCACTGATAATTTTGATTCAACTGTAATACTAAGATTATAAATTAAATAATTTAGGAATAAGATTTAACATTATACTTAATGGTTAAAACTTCTCCTGAAAATGTATGATTAGTTTTTGCAATAATTCTCATTAATTACAAGACCTTAATGTGGCTCATGCTCTTTAATGTTTTCACTGCCATGTGTATAGAAAAAAACAAGTCTCCCATTGCAAGGTTTATTCTTATATGCACAATAAAAAACAAAAAGATGTATTACTTACCTGAAACTGGTAAACTCTGAAAAGTTTTAAGGGAAATGCCCTTTCTTCTTGATAATACAAAATTCCAAACTAACATTTGGTTAATTTGATACTTTTCAAGTCTTAAACAAAGGTTACATAGTGTGTCCCATGTAAGTTCCCATGGTAGTATTCTAGAAGGGGTCACATATGTGCTCATGGCAGTGAAAGAGTTGAAGATATTTAGAGAACATATGAAACATGCTTCATAAAAGTAATAAATGTAAATACTTACTTATCACATATTTAACTTTAGATAAAAACTTACAATTCTGCCATTGATGACTTTACTCTCTGGGTGGTTCGAGTCAACCATTTTTTGTGCTTGACGAGCCATCTCATTGACTAATCCTGTATAGGTATCAATTTCTAACTCCAAGGCCTGTTATTAGATGTATAAAATAAAATTTTATTTATGAGCTCTCAATATACAAAATACTATTAAAATCAGGTATAACTTAATTGTGATAGAAAGTATGTTATAAGAAATGTCATAAAAATGATGCAGAAATAGATAAATAAGACAATGGCATAGTTACTTGTAGAAAACACTGCAAGACCCAATTAAATTAAATTAAATTAAAGACCCAATGAGAACTAAAAAACTGAAACTTGAAAAAATAAGTCAGAATTCAAAATTCATAAGCATTTGTGGAAGAGGCATTCTGCAACTTTAAACATATTTTTTTTCAATGACTACACTATGTTTCATATTATTAAAAACACACAAAAAACTGGATTTCATTTATTATTTTTTAAGTTTTAAGTACTAACTGAAGGATGGAAACCATTTTAAATGAAAATGACATTTTTTAACCCATGCCGTTCGATGACCCTTGAAAAAGGCAAAAGCCAAAACGTTGGGTAGAATAAAAAAAAACATTTATCTGAAGTCGTTTAGCTTCATTAAAAATAAACTTCTTTTACACCTATCTCATATTCACTTTAGATTTAGTTACTTGGGACTCTAGATAATATTGATTACCAACTTTACGCTAAGTTTCTCATTGGTGTATTAGTAGCAAAACAATAATGAGTAAGCAGATAAAAACTACTCTTGCAGAATTTCTGTCCCACAAAAATATCATAATCATGATTACTGAGTAATTTATAAAGTTTGATAAGAACCTTATGCTTGGTTAAAAGCCTGACAGCTCCATCTTCATCACGACCATAATCAGTACTTGTTAAAATGTCATTTTTCTCTGTTATCCATGTTTCCACCTCATTTGCTTCTGTGTAAAACTAGAAAAGGAAAAAAAATATTCTTGTTTCTGTAATCATACTTTCCTTTAGTAATCTTCTGAAACTGCCACTAAGATGCTTTGAAATAATCAGAATTTTGTCATAATAGATAAAATATATTACCATGGCTAAAAAATATAAAAAACAACATTAAAAAAACTCAAAAATTTAGTTGTTACCAAGTGTTGGAATTAATCAACTTAAAGGTACATATTCTATAAAAAATAAAATCTATGTAAAACACAACCTCAAAGATGTACATAGGGCTTACAACAAAGAATTTAGTTTTTATGATTTAAAATTGAGGTTTTTATCTACTAAAGACTTCTTATCTTGGCAAACTAAAAAGTAGAAAAGATTTTAAGTTTAAATGACTGTATTTCAATCATATTAATTTTTAAACAGAGAAGCATAGTAATATGGTACAAGATAAAAACCTGTAATATAATAAAAACATATTGAATGCAGTCAACATCTTGAAAATTTTGTCTTCTGTTTTACCTCTCTCTGATTCTATTAAAAGAATGCAATTCTAAACAGAACATTATGTTTTTCTCAAAATGGATTATTCTACATATACATGTAGCAAAACCAATTTCAGAACATACTACTAATATTTCTTCAACCATGTAGTTAGTTACTTGGCTTCTTATGAAATTACACTTACTATTAACACATGATATTCATACCTGTTGAGCCCTGAGAGAAAGTTCTAACTTCTTCTTCCTTTCAACAGCTAATGACAGAAGTTCCTGCCAATTCTGATGAAGTTCCTCACACTTGATTAGAATAGATGAGGCAGCAAAATGCTTTTGGTCAGCTAGTGCTTCACCACAAGCCAGAAGTTTATCAATAATTGGCTGATGCCCTTGGATTTCTCGTTCCAGTTTCTGAGAGAAAAATATAGGTTACATTTTCATTGTCAAATTACAATATCTAAATGTTAAATGTGTATCCTTTCTTTTTAAGTTCCTAGAATGGAGATGACTTACTCATCTGTATGCAGGGTTGGTCAATTTGACTGACCTTGTAACCATCATGTAACCATGAAACTATACATACTGAATGTACTAAGTGTATCTTCATGAAATTTGACAAGCATTTAGTAAACACTACCAGTTTGTTTTAAAGAAACATCAGATTATTTAATTAAATATTTTAATTAAGATTTGTCTGTAAATGTATGAAGGTTTTACTGTGTCAATCTGAGTTAAAGGTGATTTTCATGTTAACAATAATAATAGTTACTTTCATCCTACAGTTTTTATATTTCATTTACATAACCTCTAAAATCTCCTAAATGACTATCAAAAGTCATCTTTGGTAAAATTTTTGTATCTTATTTCTCATTTTCTCTACCCTAAAAATAAATATAACAAATATGTAGTGAAATAAAAAGTTGAAAAATATGAAATAAAATTAATACCTTTTCTTCTTTTTCTTTGAAACCATAATTGATTTGGTAGTTTTAAGTTACTTATCTTCACAATTTCAGCTGTTAACCTTTTCACAACTGTTTTCTTTTAATGTTGTTGTTTTATTGCTGAACTTTGTTCTGAGGAAGCTGTTTATCACTTTATGGAAAGCAGTAAATCACAGTGGAAGTCTGTATCTATTTCTCCCTCACAGACAAAATAAATCAATCAAGTTATGCTTGTGAGCTTTCATTACTGAGCTCATAAAATTTGAATTTTTTTTATTCTTGTTACCTAAGAAATTTCAAATTTTCACATGCTAGTTGCTTCTATTAAGAATATGTAATAATAAATAAAAGATATAAATAAAAAACAAGAAATTTAGCAACTTACTCCAGGTTCCAGACCTTTAATTGTTAAAAGCTGGTTTCCTTTTAACCTTAATTTTTTCTCATTATGTTGGTTGTCCAAAAATATTATTCATGTAGCTATCAAATATATATATTTCAGAACACAAAAATATATTTATAACCAAAATAAAATTTCTCATAACTACTACAATGTATTTAGTTTCCTAAGTAAGTTACAAATAGTTTAAAAAATTCAGTTTGCTGCTCAAGTTGAGCAATGATGATCATAAACAAAAAATCTAAAGCCACTGTCTATTAGGATGGTCTTTATTTTTGAAGTTTTGATTCACAAATCTCACACCCTCATTTTGTTTCAATACATAAATAAGTAATTCATACTGAATAACATTTAGGATTAGCCAAAGTAGTTGATATTTTATCTTACAGCTTGCAATATAACTGCATATTCTAGATTATTATTATTATGGAATATTGTAGCACATTCTTGAATACTGTAGCATATTCTGGAATATTCTAGAGTATTCCACATTATTCAGAATGTTCAAGAACATTCCTAATTAAATATTCCATGCTGCTATTTTTTTATTTTGTAATAATCTGTATGACATGACAGTTATTTCTAGAATTTCTGTAAGGGTATAGAAACACTTAAGCAGATTCTTCTGTATCATTTCAGCTGCCACTTGATTGGTGTATCATTACAAATAGATATTGCAACAAGAAGTACGACTATACTTCGACTGCTTGGTTCAGAAGAAACTGAACTAACAGAGATCAAATTACCTTCAAATATGCAAGTTCTGCATGTGTTTTTCTACTATCACAAACCATTATAGAAAACAGTGAGTGAAAGGTCAAAGACTGTGATCAAGAAGGCTGCAGCTTTTTGGAACAAGATTCAAATTCAAATTCATCCAGAACATGATGTCATTATCAAAGTAGAGAAGCTTTCTGAAAAATGGATGAAGCTAAAGAAGAATACAAAAAAGAAAATTGAGACACAGTGAGCTAATGAAGCAGGGCTTGTGAATAATCTGGATGAACATTTTTAAAATCACTCATAGGGATGCTCTAACCATGATCAAGATCTCAGAAGACTGACTTTTCTAACTCAAATGGAAAAAGGACATTTTGAATGCATAGGTCAGGTAGATAAAATTCTTACTTTAAAGGAATCAAGGGCTGAGAAAAGAATGTGGACAGAAAACAATATGCAGAGCAGGAACAGCAGACCTTGAATAAAACCGTCAGTTGTTGGAATCATCCCACAGCAGTGAAAATAAGGTTGGGGAAAATATTATCAATGAAAGTGATAAGAAAACTTAGTTGAATGGATGACAACTGCCTCTTGTAGAAACACAAGTGTAGAGGACAATGTTTCAAAAGTCTTCCGCCTTTCGTCTTCAGTGATGAAGATAGAGGAAATTGAAGAATCATCATCTTTTAAAGCTAAAAAGAGGGCAAGAAAAAGAAGAAATAATATCATCACTCCTAATTTAGCAGCAGCTATGGATAGAATAAAGTTGAGTGACAGAAAGGCAACATTTGTCCTTACTGACACAGCTCACAGTCTTGGTCATGATGTGCAGGAACTAACCAGCAACAGTCCTTTGATCTAAAAATCTCAACATCAGTTCTGTGAACAACTTGTCAAACACTTAGAGGAACACTTCCAGCCAAGTCTCATTTGTAGTTCACTGGGATAGCAAGCTCCTTAATGATCTAACAGGGAAGGAACAAGTGGATCACCTACCAATTCCTAGGTGTTCTAAGGTTGATTTCTAGTACTGGAGAAGCTCAAGCTTCTGATCTAGCACATTTGCTAGAAGAGTGGGGGAGTCATTGATTGTGTAAAAGTAGTTTGCTTTGACACAACAGCAAACAACACTGGTCATAGAAATGAAGCATGTATGCTTTTAGAACAAAGAATAAACATAATTTTTCTATATTTGGCATGCCAGCATCATATCTTAGAACTGGTCCAGGTATGTGACTTCAAAGATTGTCTGGGGCTTTCCTGAGGTACAGATATTGCAATTTTCAATTGATTCCAACAATACGGGGTATATATGGACCAGTCCAGTTGTGCATCTAACCATGATGAAGTAGCAGAAGCTATACAGGAAGTTAAAGACAGTGTCACTGAGTTTGCTACAAAACCACTTCAGGTCAGTCAACCTAGAGATGATTATAAAGAGTTTCTTGAACTGGGCATAACCTTTCTTGGTGGCATTCCTCCTCATGAGTTGCACCTTGAGAACCTTGAGCAGTGCATCATGCATGATAGATGGCCAAGGCATTAAGTGCCCTCAATATCTGGATGTTTATGGCACAGTTTAAAATCATTGGTCATGAGAAAGGAGGACTCCATGAAAGTTATAATTTTCCTATATTGAAAATTTATTCCTCATAGATACTTACCTTTTCTCACACATATAGCTGTTCTCATTAAGTGCTTCCCTTTATATAAAAATTTTCTGTGTGTGCCACAATCCTTGAAACGCCCACCTATGCCACAATCCACGTGGTTCACAACAACTTTACATGTAAATCATGTGACAACCCTCCACCAATAGGAGTGCACACAGGCTCCTGACACATGTGACTCCCACTATTTGTTTCTACCTAACTATTACTTCAATGTTTTCAATGTAGGAAAATTATAACTTCTCATACCTCCCCTCACACATATAACTGGAAACCCACATTGACCTGGTTGAGGGACCAGTCTAAGAAATATAGATAAGTAATCTTCAAAAGCATCTGAATACACCCATGAAGTGTGAACCCTTGTTGGGAGAGGAACAAACAGTACCAGGTATACTCTTCTCTCTGTGTGGTAATAGGTGTTGCAAACACAGGAGGAAATTAGAGAAGTACATCCAAAGGAGAGAAAACTGAGAAGGTTTGAACCCAAATCTCACAAATGAATAGAGGATCTTCATCTACAAACGGAAAGGTGGGGAAAGCTTAAATGGATATGCCCCATGATATAGAGTGGCTATGGATGCATCAGACTGTACCAGCAGGTCAACTCCAATCCAAAACCAGATGGCATCAGGCGTACATCATCCGACCCATGGTAAGAGAAGGGTCCACACTGTCTTCACCTCAAGTTGAGTAGAATGGAAGGAGACAATTTCCATACCAATCCATAAAATAGGGCAAATGTGCACAAATTCAAAACCAACCAACCAGGAACCTGACATCTGAACAATAGTAGGAAGGTATGTGCCAATGTGGCATTTCATGTGAAATCCAAAACCAATTGCACTTGTTCCACATAGTGCAACATCAGCCTTAGGTAATGAACCCCCCTGAGGTGGAATGCTAGAGGGACAACATTTGTCCTGTGCAACATCATCCTCCAAATAGGACCGCACAAAAGCTGGATTGAATGTGTGTGCAACCTCAAATTTCAGGACCCGCCACACAGAGGTGGAAAGCATGCATCAAAAACCCTAGACCAAGGTAGAATGTGGAATCACAACCAATACATGTGAGAGGATTTATGTTGATTAGTCCAGCTCTAAACCAAAGCCATTCACTAGAAACTGACATCCAGGTGGTGGTAGAACAAGGGATCTCAATCAGTGGGGTGAACTACAATATGACAGATCTACTCTAAATCAACAACATCCTCCAGAGCACAATGCAACCTCAGAGTCCCACTGCGTGGAAGAGGATCATTTTTGTAAAAGATATGCAGCCTCAGACTCCAGATAGAGCTGCACATAAGCTGGGCACAGCATCAAGATCTGGGGCCCACTGCACAGAGATGGAGCATATTTATGAAATATGCCCAACATCATCCCCTAGATAGGTAGGACCATACAGAAGCTGAAGTGCAATGCCAACTTCCGGGTCCCACCGCACAGAAGTGGCTCACCTCTAAAATTATATACAACCTCACCTTCAATACAAAACTGTACAGGAGCTGGATGCAACATCAGCCTCCAGGACACACTGCATGGAGGTGTAGCACATGATTGAAGGATCAATGCCATCCACACTGGCAGAACACCACCTTTCTACTCTCTACTGAATGGAAAGGATCACGTTCAAGAGGATGCTTCCATGGCCCACCTCCCCTTTGGATCAAAA